AGAATCTACAATGCCTAATTCCCAAGACTATGCTTTAAACATTTCCCCTCTATGAAGTCAGTCCCCACTGCAACTGTATAATTGGGAGAAATATGGCTTATGCAAAATGGATTAAATTAATTACAGAAGACCAGTTGAAATAATGTCTGTAGGTCTTTTTTAAAAATCCCATCAGTTAAAACATCTCACCTTATTTCTCCATCTGTAGTTATAAGCCCTGCAACGCAGAAAGTATTTCAAACACTTCACACTTATCTAATTCCACAAAGTTCAGAACAGCTAAAAAAAAACAGCACACAAGCCAATGACTTCATTATGAAAGCCCATTTGTTTCCATTACTGATCTTAGTATGGAATGAGCATGTTTGCTTTTCTTATAAACATGATCATCATCACAGTCAGAGAGCCCATACCATTTGCTGCAAGGTAGGCATTTTGGCATTCTGCTTTTTTAATTCAGTAAGAGGAAAGAAATGTTGTTTCAAAAGCTAGGATGGTAAACCTTATTAATGTTCCCATAAATCTGTTCCAGAACCCGGAGGAGCTACACAATCTTTCCTCTATATTAAACCACTTCTATCCTTTCTACTTTATCCACATTTCCAATCAACATTGGATTACATTGATTAAAAACCTAATACATAGAGTATTTTAAAAGAATAAAAGAACTCTTAGAATAAGCTACTTTATGTAGTGTGTACATTTAATCATAATGTGTAGATTTTAGGGTAAGTGTCACCAAATAGGCAAGAAATAAGAAAAGAGAGATTACACTCAAAGAGATATTTCAGAAGCACCACAGGGCCCTGATGCAAAATCCATTGAAGTCATTGGAGAGATTATCTTTAATTTCTGTGTGGTTTGGATCAGACTCAGGGAATTTTGGAGCAAAAAGTCCCATTGAAATCAAAGGGGCTTGTACTCCTAAATCCTTGAGGTGCTATGTAAATCTTCCCTCACTCACTTAATGGGTTCTGTCTCTCCCCGTAAGGCACTAGGAAAGGCTTCTGTTGATTTCTGGGAGCTTTGGCTAACAGAATAGACTTTTTACATTTAGTTTCCCCACCCCCATTGAAATCCCTTATGTAAGGTAATGGCTTTGTGTATATAGGTGATTGGCCTCCACAGGTATGTGTTCACTACCAAAAAAAAAAAAAAAATGTGTCCCCGTATCTGGGGTTTGCTGATCCTCCTTAAATAACTCAGATTAAAACAGCTGCGGTTATACAGCGACTCAGCTTTTCACTCAGGTCAGCACTTGTGTTAAAGAGTATAGGGGAACCTGGGGTTGAACTTTACCTGTTAATCCGAGATGCTGGGTAATTGTGGTCCTTTAAAACCAAGTTGAGTAGGTGCTGACTTCCCCTCTAGTTGGAGAGAGCTCAGCCCCTCCCCCTGCTTTGCTACAGGGCCTGTCCTCACTCCATCCCTTCCCCCAAGTCTCTGCCCCCATCTGTACCCCGCCCAACCTTTTTCTCCCTCTCTTCCACCCCCACCTGGACCTCATTCAGTTTCTTCTCAGCCTCCTTCCATCTTCTCCCTGAACACAACCCTTCCCCACTCCTCCCTCTCACTCCTTGAGCCTTTTGCACATCACAAAATAGCTGTTTGTGGTGCATGGGTGCTACTGGGAAGGACAGGGTAGAATTGATCAGCAGGGATGCTGGTGAGCAAAAGGAACTGGGAGAAGTGAGGGGCACTTGGCTGCTGGTGGGTGCTGAAAACCTGCTACTTTTTCTGCATGGATGCTCAGGCCCCAGAGCACCCACAGAGCAGGTGCCTATGCCAAATTGCCTAAAGCATAGATCAGATAACCCATGTTTAGAACATGCTGTGTTTTTTGCATTGAAGATGGATGGAATCACACCTGCTCAGTTTTTCCAGATTTACTCACCCTCTACTAACTTATCTACTTGAAAACAAGTAGAAAACCCCACTAGTAATGCAGTTACTGTAGATTTCACTTATCCAAAGAGGAGGAAGTCCATGCTTTTGAAGACTAAATGTAGATTTTTCCCCTCTTTCATATATATATATATATGTGTGTGTGTGTGTGTGTGTGTGTAACCCAGAGGCACTGACAAGAGATAGTGAGTCTGCTCTAAAGTCTTAGCTAAGTGCTAGTCAGCTTTTAGCTCATGTGATAGAGGCTCATGGCTTTAGCCCTGAAGATTTCCAGTTCAATCCCCCCTGCCGACAACCCAGGTCTGTCAGCTTAACATGTGGTTAGCTAATGATCATGGTGTCTGAACACACATAAAGCCAAAAATAACAATATGGCAGGCCAGTTCTGAGGCTGTTGAATTCAATAGCAGAATTCCCCATTCCCCTCAGTGAAATCAGGATTACATCCCATGTCACAGCTCTCCTTTCACAATGGGATGTCCATGTTATACTTTCCCAGTGCGGTTGTCCGAACACATCCATATATCATCCACATTGAGTCTTTCAGAGACACATGAAATATTTCCTGTCAACACTGTCTGTTCTGCCTGAACCCTACTGCTAAACTGGTTAGCCAATAGGAATTTTGGACTCCAACTCAGAACCAATGCATGAGACAGGAAAACATGTTGTTTGGTTTCAGTTCTGGGAGAAATCCTACCTACTGCAAAGTATAGAAATTGTTAAGATCCAAACATATAGGAAATATTGTACAAAAACTCTAAAGGTACATACATTTTCAAGCAGAAAACCATTTATATTTTGTAAAGTGTCTTGCAGATGTTCAATGACTTATTATTTATTTACACAATTGCTGGCAAGCCATCACAGTCATTCTCAAAGAACACAAGATGTTTAAAGCTGTTACAACTAGTGCTTTGAAAACTGAGATCATGTTTGATACTGGCTATTCATTCCCAATACTTAATAAAATCTTAGTCTTATATGGACAAGTAGGAGCCAGCAAGAATATCTGGTTAAGGCAAGTACTTATTTTAGCCACAAGCTTAGAACTAAACGAGTCAGCCTTTTTTATATCCCTATTATTTGTGTGCATCACTTGTAAATGTTTTAATACAGTTCAGCTTTCCAGAGTATCTGGAGCTGTCTTTTAGTCTTTATGTATATGGGTGATGCATTATGTCATAACATGCTGACACACAGATCTACATCTGAGTATCGAGGGGGTGTCTTGAACAGGCTAAATCAACCCAGATGTAATTTTCCCCTGGAAAACCTATTTAATGCTTTCATTCTGCCAAAAGCCTCAAAGATTTGTTCTGCAGGTCTTTCAGCTTATTTCTTAACTGGTTTAATGAAATTCAGAATGTTAGACTCAAGTATTAAAGTCCTTCTAGCCAGATGTCAGTGTATTTTCTTCTTCTTTCTGTTAAATTATGCCATCTACTGTAAAATAAAAGAATGGCAGTGCTACAAGACTGTTTAGTGAAATCAGGTGTATTTATTGTCGGTCATTTTATAAGACAATTGGAATTTCTTTCATTTTCATGGATGCAATTTAATTTTATGTTGGAACAAATGAAAGCCGTGTTTTAATAATTATGAAAAATAGTGTTTTGAGACAAGGCCCTATTTTGTAACAGCTGTTGAGAATAATTGACTTGAAAAATGGACTTGTCCCACAAGCAGTGGTAGGACATGCTTGCTACATTTCATGAGGCATACGGAGAGGTCGACAAAGGCTTCCCTTGTCAACCACAGCAAATCTAGACTGCCCCGCTGTGTCGGATCAGCTGAACGTCGGCACAGTGTGGCGGCCATTTTTATTTTAATGAAGTGGGCATTATTTAAATCCCCGCTTCTTTGACTGTGCCAAATAAACTATTTTACATGGCTCCGTTGACAGAGCCATGTAGTCTAGACATAGCCAAAGAGACTAGGAGCTCCTACTCAACCACAAGGCAGTGCTCTTCTACTGGGCACAGGAGCACCACTAATCCTCTGACTGAAAAATTTGCCAGGCACATAAGGCAGGATTCAGGTGATAGCTCCCCATTCAACAAGCCCAGAAGATTTTGGTTCCCACCTATACACCCCATCCTGTGAAGTTAGCAGCACAGCCTGTAAGTGACATTGTGTACCTGAAAAACAGTGTACTCACTCCTTTGGGTATTAGAGCCGACAAGATGGAAGCAAGAGGAGAGGAACTTCATGGCTGACAGAAATGAGAGATCAGGACAGAAGTAAGGAAGAACAAGGGAGTGAACTCTAGCAAAGTTATATGTACACACACATCTTATTTTATAGATGAAAATTTAAAATGGTAATGTGGGGTTAGTTTGGATTTATGAAAATTGGAGGGATAAGTTAGTATGGAAAAATGTTATTGAAAATAGGGATTCCAAGATGGATAGTTAATTTATTTTTGTATCTGTGAAATATTTAGGAGCAAATTGCTTGTTGTGTTGAAATTACACCTTATTTGAAATTATTCAGTGAATACTTTTCCATATGCAAATTTTCCTGGAACTAAATAAATTTTCACTTATTTGCTGCAGTAGACATGGATATTCATTTTAAAAACTATCCTGAACCAAGTGAGTTAAACCAGTCTGTGTAATTTTTATCATGCATGAAGACTTGTTTTTTTTTTCTTTTTACTGTAAATCTTTGTGTATGCATCTGTACATGCAGGCCTTACAGTGACTAGCTTAACACATTGGATACATTCTCCTATCAATGGTACTGTGGACTTCTATAGCAGTTTACACAGTTCTGCCTGTGGGACCTGATCCAATGTCTACTGAAATCAATAGACTCTGAATGATTTCAGGTGTCTTTGGATTGGCTCCAGAGAGCTTCCTCTGAGACCAGTGGGACTATCACCTAGATATCCAGTTCAGACATTACAGTTCCCAAGCAGAATTTTATGGTGACCGAAGATGAGAATTTTGTCCCTTGTCATCAATGAGACATGTTTGAAATAAAGCCTTCAGTTTTCAGTTTCATTTTTAACATCTCATTTTAATTTTTTTTTACTGAGCATTGGGCTGATGAGTGCTACATATCTTCAATTTTTTTCATTTCTTTTCCAGTTTTAGGATGTACACATCTTGGGCAAATGTACGCTGACAGGGATGTTTGGAAACCAGAGCCATGCCAAATCTGTGTATGTGACTCAGGGGCTGTGCTCTGTGATGACATCATCTGTGATGGTGAGGATTTAGAGTGTCCCAACCCAGAGATTCCGTTTGGAGAATGTTGCCCTATTTGTCCACAGACAGCACCTACTGTCAAAGTAAGTGTGAACGGTTTCTTTGTAAACACAAGTTGTCCTTGATCCACATTTCCCCAAATCATTTGTCCATCCATACAATTGTTTATGTTAACTACTCTTGATTCAATTTAAAAGCCTTTCATATCTGATAAGTGTTAAGGGGGAGGTAGCAAGCTACTTTGAATGAAATCAGAACTAAGCTGAACCTTTGTTAAAATTTAACCAACCTTTTAATGAAGTTCAAAAAAAAATCCTTTCTCCCTGTTACTTTTCATTTTCTTATATCTTTGTACTTCCTGATTTAGCAGAGGATTAGAACCAGAAATAATGATAAACTACCGTGGAAATATATGTTCTTTCCATATATTCATCTGATGAAAGCAAGACATCTCAGTTACCTCATAAGAAAGGCTTTTTTCATGAGAATATTTTGTTTAATTTTATAAATGTAGGAGATTCTGCTCAAAAAAGCAATGAGCAGTCAGTACTCATAAATCATAGCTCAAAATCACAGACTTTGGGCTGTAACTGTCCCAAAGCTCAGTGTTGCTGGGATCCAGAATTCAGCTTCAACACTTGCCAGATATAAAGTTCAGGTGCAGATTTCGATCCAGACTGAAATCTTCAGAGCATGTGGTGGTAATCAGATGCATAGCAGTGATTCAGGTCCATTTCTTTATCATTAGTGTTTACTCAAATCAAACAGGACTTCAGATTCTTTTGAGAGCACAGATGTTTTCCAAAAATTCATTTCTGACATAACGTGCAGTTTACATGCATGAAATCAAACACAGCCTACATTTTCAAGCTAACTAAGCCAAGCCTGTTTAAGGCACCATATAAATATTATATGCCTAATTTGCGTCACATGCCAATTTTATACCATTGTACAGCTTTCTCATTTTCTTTAGAGCTGCTGTCACTGATTTACTGGTGCAAATGAGAGGTGAATCAGGGCTTACCTATTCAATTTATCAATAATTCATACTTAGAAGATAATATTATAACCTACACAGTTTCTGTCTCAAAAAAAATTCTTGCTGAATGCAATCAAGTGTTTCCTGAGTAGGAATTAAAGCAACCTGCCCTTATGTTAGTAAAATGAATTATTGAGGGTTCATTATACATAACATTTGGATGATCATTATAGATTAGTGAGTTTAGATTAAATTAGGGAGATTAAAATATTTTAATATCTAGGGACATATTGTGTCTTTGGTCACAACTCATGTAACTCAATGAAAATAAGTGGGTTTGCTCAAGGGTGAGGAAAGAAAATGTCTAATGCAAAAATGTCATTGAACTTTATCATGAGATTTCAAACTGCCTCTAAACTTGGGCCCTCTTAAAAAGTCTAAAGAATGCCTGGCTCCAGCAATTGCACATCTTTCCATTTTCTTACCATGAGTTCTTTCTAGGCTCCAATAGTGGAAACTTGCAGTTTTGCGGTAACGCTCCTAAGTTTGCACCCTATTTGATTAGCTCCATTGCTTCAGACCATCAGGGATCTATATTGGCAGATCCCATTAGCCCTCTTTCTGTGCTATGCATAAGTCTAGCCAGAAGAATGGGAACCAGACTACTGTGGGTCAAGTTGAGGCATAATGAAATTTCTCTCGTAATGTCTAAGATTTATCTCAACATCCATAATACAATTAGCAGTAGTACTACCAGAGAGACCTAGTCTACAATCTTTAATCACCATTGGAGGATATTGAGGGTCATTGATAATTATGTGTTGAAAATCAAATAAGTAACTTTTTTAAGAGAAATGAGACTGAAAAAATTTGTCTCAGTCATTAATATTTTTAATTTAATGGATTGGAAAAGAAATAAGAATTGTATTCCCTCTGCATCTCACAGTGAAAGCACACAGGATGAAATCCTGGCCCTGCTGCAGTCAATATATTATTGACTTCAATAGGTCAGTATTTCACCCAAAGCTCTTGTGTCAAGAATGACCACTGGGAATGCTTCATGGCAGTGCAACTCAGTGTTTTTATTTGGTAGTTGATTTGTAAATGCTCAATTTAGCACAATACTGCCATAATTCCACTGTTGTTTAAACATTTCTTCCTTCTTGTCAAATATGCTGAACTTTATTGCTACTTTTGGTTTGATTCCTTAGTGATTTTTTGTTTCGTTATTCTAGCCCACTTCTAATTCCAATGGACTTACCAGCCAAGGTCCCAAAGGCGATCCTGTAAGTACTATCAGATTCTTCAAAAAAAAAAAAAAATTACAAAAGGGCCTAGTCCTGCCAAGTGCTGAATGTCACAGGCAAGCTGGCGAGGAACCTCAACTCACTTTGATGTCTTCATAATGCAGGATTGGGCTTAATGTTTATTGGACTCTGTTGTTCAAAATCTGCTGATAATGTAAAATCAGGATAATCCCATTAGATTCAGTGGATTTCTGTATATACATTTGCAATCTTTTTGAAAAAGTTTCTGCACCGTAGGAAGAATTCATCTGTACCTTAATAACTGTGGGTATGTCTACACTACCCTCCTAGTCTACACTACCCTCCTCGTTTCACGAGGAGTAACGGTAGTTCGGAATAGGACCCTAGTCCGAACTACCTATTTCGAGCCCCGTGTAGCCGCGCTACACGGGGTTCGAAGCAGCGGGGATTTAAAAATGGCGGCTCCCCGCTTATGCTAATGAAGCCCGGGAAATTCAAATCCCGGGCTTCATTAGCAAGTGCGGTATGCATACATTACCCCGCTAGTTCGAACTAGCGGGGTAGTGTAGACATACCCTGTGTTACTTTTTATACTGAGCTGTCGATCTAATTTTGAATATTAGAAGCATGCACACACCAAAGTGACATACAGTCAGGTTTGACAGACAACGATTTTTATCCTTGTATGTATTTTAGTACTTCATCTTCTCTTCCTACTAATTTGAATTGAATTTGTTTAAATGTCATAGAAAAAATCACTTTTACATTGTGAAGTATCTATTCATGTACCCATCCAGACTTTACACCTGTTAACTTCAGCAAGGGCATGATTTGGTCCATAGTGTGCCAGAGAGTAACACATTGAATGACAAATACCATTGTTAACTATTGTTTATTTTGAACTTCATAGGGGCCTCCTGGCAGAAATGGTTCACCTGGTCCCCCTGGACAACCAGGCAGTCCTGGCTCTCCTGGCCTGCCAGGGATCTGTCAGTCCTGTCCCTCTTCTGAAGGAGTAAGTCATAATTATTCCATCTAACTCTGAAAGTGTTGTGTATACTCATTGAGGGTGAAATTTTCACACACTGAACATGTCCTTACATGTCCACACAGGTAGGGAAATATACTTATTAAACTATGCACCCTCCCTGTATCATGGGTCACTGAACAGCAGGAAGGATAGCTCTGGGTAGGCTGATACTTCTACTCAGACATAGATAGGCTGTACAGATGGTGGGGATGGGAGTGGAAAAATCTTGATGCTTCCTCCCACCCTCAAAACACCAGCCAACATAATGCAACTGGCACAGCCTGAAAAGCAATCTGCTACTCAGAAAGACTCACTCTAGAGGTGAAATTCTGGCCCCAGTGCAGCCAATAGCAAAACTTCTATTGTCTTTAGTAATTTCATCCCAGGATTTGATTATTTAACTTGGGATTGGGAAGGAGGGCGAACCAGGATCCATATAGCGGCACTCTGAACCTCAGTACTGTTCCACTTCAACTATTTGCTGACCCTCACTTGGAGAACATTATAAGATCTTTCCTTAAAATAACAATAGTTCCTAAATAATATAAATACGGATGAGGATTTGAACCCCTGACTGCCATTTGTGTCTTTCAAAATCACCACCCTCGTTCACTGCTTTTGTTCATGAAGTAGTATGGAAGTGTAACTAAAACAAGTGAGCTTAGAAGCCTGTCCCCTAAAATGTAGTCTTTAGTTACAATCAGCTCTACCAGATATGATTAGCCAGATATGATTAGCATGATAATTGAATAAAGCCTCCAAAGAGAGCTATTTCACAGAGTTTATTAATTTACCCACATTATTGTCGTGTTTTTCACCTACAGTACTATTTTCTGACATAGCAGAAATGGTTTGTTCATATTGTATCATAGAAGGATTTATCTAAAAGGTTTGCACAGCCAATTTTGTTGCAGAAGTTGAAGTAAAGTAAAAAAAAATATAGAAAGGTTATATTCAATCTTTTCATGAAATTTGGCATATCCAGATTTACAAAGATTGCTATATATTAGTTTTATTAGTAGTAAAATATTCAAAACTGTGTTATATAACAATAGTAGCCTTTGAATTGCCTGCCCAGCTTTTCGAAGGCAACTCCGTACACGTTACTCCTTTTCAGGCAAACCAAAGATCAGAGAAGGCACCTTAGCTTTAATTAGCTTTTAAAGGAACTGCTTTGATAAGTCAGAATTTCTGAGACATGCATCAATTTTATCAATTTTAGTAGACACTATGGCTACCGCTAAACTGTAGTGCTATTTCGGGATACCTCTGATATCCCAAAATAGCTATTTTGCATCTTTTGAGCACACCCATTATTTTTAAATATAAGAGGCCGATGTCTCTGTAAACCTTATTCTGCAAGCAGTAAGGGATGTTTTGGAATAGCGATTTATTTCAAAATGAGTGTTGTGTAGACAGTACCAAATTTTGAAATAAGGTATGCAATTTGAAGCTACAAGTGCAGTGTAGACTCACTATGACATTACAGTCTATTAAAAAATGCTACCTTCAGTGCTGAAATGTCCACATATAAGTTAACAATATAGGTAGGATTTGTCATCCAGTCATCTAGTAAATAGATCCATAAGAGTTGACTCTTGTGCTCACATTAAAAATATCAGTTGCACTGATCCAAATGCACGATCTGGGTCTGGGCTGTGCTGGATTGTCAATTACTGGATGCACCCACCTCTTGCAAACTTTTCCTTTTGATCACAAGTAAAAATATTTACTCTGCATTCATTCTGAGTTAATCAAGCCATTTTACTAAATATCTTCAGAAGTTGCATTAAGAGGTTTCTGGAAAGCTGAATGTAATGTTGAATCCAGGGTATTTATGTTAACCCAGAGCCTGTGGGCCATGTTCTAGCCTTCTGCTTCTTCAGAATTTCCACTCATGTCAATGTTAGTGTGTCCCAAACATGTTAATATTATTTCCCTGGCTCAAAACTGATGAATATATTTGAGTGGTGTAGCATTATATGCTTAAAACGGAACCAGAGGGACGGAGAATAGCAATATACCAGTGTAACCGCCTGCAGGTGGGACTGAACATGGCATCTTTAGAGCTTAGGGTAGGAGCTGCTACAGCTGGCACTATAGAGCCAGCTGGCTAGCAGCTTAGGCTGTAAAGCTCAGTAATTCTCATCTCTCACTGTAAGTGGTCTAAGTGCCACTACATGGTATTGTGGACTACATGCCCTGACTGTGTGGGTTACACCAGTTGTCATATTTATGACCCATTTTATGAGAATTACCAATTCCTGGTTTTGAGGTGTGTGAAAACCTTTCATTTTACAATTGTGTGAGGTTCGAAGAGATGAAAGAAAGGACAAGGATATTTTCCAGTTCATATTACTCTGAAATGTGTGGATTAGTAACAGCTAAACACTAATATGCAGCAAGTTGAATGCATGGGACCTATTGGTTCCAGGAGAAAACCCAGGAAGAAACTCAAAAGGAGTGACCCATGTTCCTGGTAAGATGTTACCTGATAACTCATCTGAGGATAAGAGCAGAGAGGATAAAGAAGGGCAGTTAGTTTACTCACATCAGGCAGATCTATATTACAGTATAGGATCAGCTGTACAGCCAGTTATAGTTATTCTGACCAACAGGCTGGGTGCAAAAACTAATGCTATTTAAGCTTTCATTTGAGATAACTTTTGAAACATGTACAGAATTGTATGTTTTAGAACATTGCTAAACAGCTTCCCTAAATGAGCAGTTTCTCTTACAGCATGCCATATGAAGTGTATGTGTTGCCTGATGTCATTTATAATGGAGTTTCTCACTTTGATCTCCCAGATACCGAATTATTCTCCTCAGTATGAAGCCTATGATTCCAAGGCTGGTGGCATATCACAACCGTATCCAATTTCTGTAAGAAAGCAATCTTTTCTTTTTTCCTTTTTTAAGAGCACTTTTTTCCTTTTGTAGAGTGTATCTTGGATATTTATACCTTTCCCATTGAACAAATATGAGTGTTTATCAAATTACTGATAGCGTTTATACTGGAAATATCATTCTAGGTTGACTCCCTGCACCTGTTGTTTCATTCTATACTAACGAGGTCTTGTGGATCAGGGAGCCATCTCTTTGGGAATGTGTCATGGTACCTGTTCTAGATGGGATTACACTCCCCCTGAAAGAACAGATATGCAGCTTGGGAGTCCTCCTGGACCCTTTTTTAACATTTAAGAATCAAATTTCTTCTGTGGCCAGGAATGCTTTTGGGCAGCTTTGGCTGATTCGCTAGTTGAGACCCTTCCTGAATTAGCATGATTTGGCCACAGTGTTCCATGCTCTTGTTACATCCCAGTTGGATTATTGCAATGCACTTTCTGTGGGGCTGCCTCTGCAGAGCATTCAGAAACTTCAACTGGTCCAGAAGATGGCTGCTTGAGCTTTAACTAACACTCGATATATGGAGCACTTTATACCTGTGCTCCAGCAGCTGCACTGGCTTTCGGTATGTTTTGAGCACGATTTAAGGTTTTGGTTATGACCTAAAAGCCCTAAACAGATTGGATCTGGAGTAGCTGAAGGACCATCTTCTCCCATATGAACCTGCCTGGGGATTGAGGTCAGCTGGGGAGGCTCTGCTCCATTTTCCTCCTTTTGTGGAGATAAAATTAATATTCATGCAGAGCATGGCCTTGTCAGCTTTTGCTCCTAGGCTGTGGAATTCTCTCCCCCGGGATATTTGCCTGGTGCCAACATTGGCTTAAAGCCACCCTTTTACTTGTGCTTTTATTGGTGTTTGAGTATGCACGCGTGTGTATGTGTGTGCACACACACGCATGTGTATGCACATGCGTGTCCTTCCTCTCTAGATGTCTTATCTGGTTTTATGTCCCCCTGGGGTCTCGTATTTTAATTTTTAATATATATTTATATTGTGTTTTAAAAATCTTGTAAGCCGCCTCGAATATTTTAAAGAGAGAGGCAGGGTAAAAAATATTTTAAATAAATAAATAACGTGTCTCTTCATCGCTGTCCTATTTCTGCATCTTCATTCTTTCTTCCTTCCAACTGATGCTCACACACACAATATCTCTTTCCTTACTTTCAGCTCTTTTCATATCTATATGCTCCTCACCTTTGCTCCCTGCCTCTTTCAATCTCTATCTTTTATTCTTCTTCTACCAACTGCTTTTCTGTCTTCCACCCTGTCACAGGATTCAACCAACCACCTCAGCACCTCCTGCCAACCATGCTGGGAATTAACTCTATCAACACCCTCTGCTACCTGTGTCCTGCCATCATCATTTCTATGCCACTCCCTGTCCAGACCCACATTGTTCCCAGTTCATGGCATCCACTTTGGGGCATATCCCTCAGCCTGAGCTCCAGTGCCATTGGGACTCCCTCGTCCTGGGGGTCCAGCAACTCACTGTCTTCTCACTCATCTTAGAGGCCCACTGCAGTCCTCAGTCTGCCCTCTCACTCCGGAAGAAAACTACAATGTATCCTGGCCACCCTCACCTCTGGCGAATGTAGGGGGTGAAGTGGGGAGGGGAGAGGAGCCCAGCCCAGCCCACTGCCCTGGGCCCCAACCCAGGGATACTTTAGCAGCAGCATCTCACTGTCTCTCTACTCGCTACTCTCAACTCTAACAACACCTGCTTCCCTGGGTCACTTTCTCACAGCCACAGCACCTTTGGTTCCCTCCCCAAGCTCTCTACTCCCTGGACGTAGAGACTGCCTGATGTATCAAGGCCATTCCTAGTGTTAGATGTGCAGTCCTCTAAGAAGCCAGCCTTCCCCCTCAGATTCCTTACAACGGACTCCCCCTCCCTGAACAGCGGCTTCCTTTTTATCAGGGTCAGCTGTGCTCTAATTATCTGAGTGGCTGCCTATCATCAACCTTCCTAGAATGATTTTTATCCTTGTAGGGCCACTGTATGGCAAACGCCTTGTCACACACTCCTAAATAATTTTCTCTCTCCCTTCATTTCTTCCTCTCCCTTCTTCTTTCTGACAGAATTCAAGACCACTGATGCTCACAAAAAATCCTCTATCCCAGTTTGTCACAGTTCAAATATTTTTCTATGGCAAATCAATATCATCCTTTCATTGTCTTCCTGCCATCCCTGAAGTAGCCAAAGCATCCCATACATTCTTTGTTACACACAGCTCTTCAGACAGAGGATTCTAAATATGCTGACTAGGCCTGGCACAAATTTTCTAATTTTTTACATACTTTGGATGGAAGACACACATGCATGCGTTACTTCTTCCTTAAAGGTTATCTAAAAAAATCTGCTTAATTTTCTCTAGATGCCCTAGGTTTGTAAGGTCATTCATCACAGCTAACATGGAGTGTCCTTACAATAGTGATATTCCATTGATAGGTACAAATGTCTCTTGACAAAGCCATGGAATACCGTACATTGTGAAGTATTATTTCATCATTATTTCTTAGTCCACATGAAAGGATTATGTGTCACATTCCATATGTACACAGCCCCAAACAAACATATTATTTCTCTGTGTTCCATCAGATTATCATGTTGAATGAATGGCAAACTTCTGTTTGTTAAACTGTAGTTCATTATTTTCTCAGTTTTGTTTTCTTTCATTTGTTTCTACCTCTCTCATTTGTTAATAAGTTCATTCATTCATTTTCAGTTCCTTATAGTTTTTACTCACAATTTGTCATATCATCTACATTTTGCTGCTTGGCTTCCTAACATGAGTAGTTACCCTAACCATAGAGATAACAGAGATACCCTTCAGATCAGCAAACGTGGTTGCTACACTATATTTTTGCATTTATATGAAAGACATTTAGATTTCTTATACATGGTTCATTGGATAAGTTCATTTTAACTTGTCTGAATAGCATAAAACAGGTTGTGTTTTTGCTATATTGTGTCCTGTCACAAATAATTTACATAGCATCATAAAATAAACCGATATGATTTAAAAAACAGAAACGCCTAGATGTGCTACTCTGATATATTATGAATCTCAACAGCATTTGATTTTTGTTTGATTAAATTCTTGCAATTAATTCAGATAAATACCTAATCCAAACATTTGGAAAAAGTAATGGATTACCTTTAGGTCAAATACATTTTCTTTACAGGTGGCTAACCATGACTGGTATTTCATTATCTCCACATCTCTCCACTGTTGTTATTGTGTTCTTGCACTGCATGTTTGTTGATCTTTTAACTTTACATGTTAATTTCTCCTCCTTGGCTTTCATTTCCTTTACATAATAACCCTTCTCTTGCTGTTTCTCCCAAGCAACCATACTTTACAACTAAACAATTTCCATTTATTCACAGGTTGGAGACAATGCTAATAAACAAATGTCATTTCCTCACCGTGTATTTTGAAAAATAACATGTTTTGTTCAGTTTATAGCCACACATGGATACATCATCAGTCCAATTTCCTTTCATGTTAAATTAGTTCTACTAATCACACCTATGATGATACAAGAAAGTAGCCTGACATAGATCTAAGCTGCTATGCCAGTTGGTATACTTTCTGACTGAGACACAGCTATTACTGTGATTTTCTTTATTAAATCTGGACAAATGCATGAAATAAATTAATGGGATTAATCTAGAGTAGTGAAACGAAATCGATGTAAACTATATTTCCTGTGTTGTAAATTATGTAATATTAACTGTTCTATGAAATATATTATCTATATTCGTAAGTCATGGAACATATTTCCTCTGCTATATAATATAGAATATATTTCCTATGTTGTGGAATATATTACTTCTGCTGTAACTCAGATACACCTACTGTATTGAGTCTACAATGAAATGATCAATGAAAGCTTAGCTGAAGACATTTTGTATTTTAAACAACTGACTGCAGCTCTAACAAATCATAAGCAAAACTTGTAGTTTTTCCTTGAAGCAATTGTTATATTGCTTCATGTTTCCCTCCTTGTTCTTACTTAACTTATAAGTATTTAACATGTACTATTGACATGACAGTAAATCATACAATTTTCTGGGACACATTTTGCAGCCACCTGCACCAGTTTAAATCTGGAATATCTTCACTGAGTTCCCAAAAATGAGCAGAATGTCATCCACTATGTTCTTTGATTTGTCCAGATATCATAGAATTGCATGGTATAGTGTTCTACCACTTTAGAAAATCAATGCATTTTCTAATATTTGTGAGACCCTGCCAAGTACCAGAAATATAAAATGAAACAAATAGAAGTCCTAAGAGTTATACAGGGGAAAAACCTTTTCATAGCATGAAGATTATGTTGCCAATGCACATTGTGTCCATACCCTTCAGATCAGCAAACGTGGTTGCTACACTATATTTTGGCATTTATATGAAAGTCATTTAGATTTCTTATACATGTGCATGTGCATGTAACACTAAGCATATATAGTGAAGAAAATAGCATCTAATACTTGCTGAATTTACTCTCAAATTAATTATAGAAATCCAACAATGGTGCAGATAAAGTAACCTCCAGGTCTATTGCCACCATTTGGCTCCACCATACTGGAGATCTGGATTTAGGAACGATCTTGGACATAACTCTTCAACACAGAATACATTTGTATTGAGGAGATGAGGTGCTTGGGTCCATTTAGAAGTTGATGGTCTTTTACCCTAGAAATATTCCTGGTAGCAGATTTATGAAATGTCCTTGGTATTTGCCTTAGTGCAAGTGTCTATTTTTCATATTAGCTGGACAAAAGGCAATAGAACAATATCCTTTGGGGTTTGAATGTTTAGAGGTAACAAATATTAACTGGGAGTAAAGGGATAGAATCAAAACAACCCCCCTCTGAATCAGTTCAGTCAGAGCTTGTATGACTGCAGTCTGCTACTGCAAAACCCTGCACCAATTTGACTCCAGTCTCTCCTGGAGAGATTGTAAATATATATATATATATAAGGGTAACAAGAAGACTATATATATATATATATATTAGAAGCAAGAGGAAGACCAAGGACAGGGTAAGCCCATTGCTCAGTGAGGAGGGGGAAACAGAAACAGGAAAATTGGAAGTGGCAGAGAAATTGGAGAGGGTCCAGAGATCGGTCTTTACCGAGAAGTCTGTAGGAATGCCTAACATAGTGAATGCTAGTGGAAAGGGGGTAATTTTAGAAGGTAAAATAAAAAAAGAACAAGTTAAAAATCACCTAGAAAAGTTAGATGCCTGCAAGTCACCAGGGCCTGATGAAATGCATCCTAGAATACTTAAACTTCAGTAAAGGAAGTTTAGGTTGGACATTAGGAAAAAATTCCTAATTGTCAGGGTGGTTTAACACTGGAATAAATTGCCTAGGGTGGTTGTTGAGTCTCCATCTCTGGAGATATTTAAGCATAGGTTAGATAAATGTCTATCAGGGATGGTCTAGATAATGCTGGGTCCTGCCATGAGGGCAGGGGACTGGACTCAATGACCTCTCGAGGTCCCTTCCAGTCCTAGTATTTGTGATTCTCTTTGTGCTGGGTTTCTCTATGATACTAAGGTTTATTTGTTACATTTCTCTCATTATTGATAAGATATTTTCTACACTCTCTACCATATTTAATTGCAGACTTCTGTTCTACAGCAATAGGCAACCATATTGAACTGTCTTTACTGTCATTCCAGTCCCTGGTTCTGATCCTAATGAGGGTTTTAAATACATTTTGATGTAATGACTATTTTTATATCAACACTTTAGGGCGGTATGGGAGCTCCTGGCCCACCTGGTGCTCCTGGCCCCATTGGTCAACCAGGCCCACCTGTAAGTAACATTCCTTCTTGTTATGTATCTATTATCCTCTGCACTATACATTCTGTTCTCTCTCCTTGAATTTGGGAATGTTTTCAATCAACAAATCTAGATGTTTTGAATTTTATTAATACATTGTGTTCTTTTATTGGTCTGTATTATTACCTGGGGAGCAAATAAGTCAATATCAGATTCTGCCCTTATTTAGATGCCATGCATTTCCACAGGAGTGGAATTATATGGTATGTAAGCTGACATAGACTATCACCCTTAAAGATGCTTAAATTCTGATTTTAGGGTGTGTCTAAACAGCACTGTAGCTCGAAATAAGATACACAATTTGAGCTATGCAAATTGCGTGTCTTATTTCGATGCTATTTCAAAATTGCTTTTTTTGTCATTTAGTGCTATCTACACAGCGCCAAATTTTGAACTAAAGTGGTATTCCAAAATGTCCTGTACTCCTCGTAGAATGAGGTTTACAAGGATGTTAGAATAGTGAGCCCAAAATAACAGGCTTGCTATGAATACTCAGGATGGCTATTTTGGGATACTCTGGAATCCCAAAATAGCATTGCAGTGTAGACATACCATTACATATTATCCCCAGACTTTTGATTCATACATAAATACAATAGTCCTCCAAAATGAATCTGGAAATTCCAATGCATATATAGCAATATGTTATGGGCTTTGGGTTTTTTAATGTAAATCTCTATGTAATGAAGTAGTTTCAATCAATATTGCACAGGGGCTTATTTTAATTAATTTTTATCATATTTTCTTCTCTCTGATTATTCAGCAATTGTTGTGGGTAGTTATTTATCATGATTGTCAGAGTATTGCAATAAGTAGCAACCTCTTGGGGAAAATAGTGTTTGTTCAACTGTCTTCTTCTACATGTTAGGGTTCTCATGGATATCAAGGTTCCCCTGGTGAGCCTGGACAGCCTGGCCCTGCTGTAAGTATCACTTTATATTACTATACACTTAAAATCATCTTATTGCAGGCTTTCCAGAGGTATATGACCACCCTGCCTGATGAAGGATGTTAGGATTGATGCCTTAAAAAATAAATTGGTACAAGGAATATAGTGCATCTTTATTAGTAAAGTCTGTACAACTCTATTTGTTCAATCTTTTTAAAAAAGAAACAAGTCACATCAGACTTCTCAGGAGAATGGTAATAATCCATAACAAATACATGCAGAAAAAACACTTTGTTTCTGATCCAACTCCATTGAAGCCAATGAGAATCCTTCTATTGACTTCAGTAGGTTTTGGATCAGCCTTTGTGAAAAGAAGACCCACAGAGAAACAATTTTTCTGCAAATATTCAGTATGGACCAAACTCAGTTATTTGATGCATTAATCATTAGGGATGAGCAGTATGTCATGCAAATAGTTTTTGTTCATAAAAATAGAGAAAATTTTGGAAACAGAAAAATTGAATCCATTGCAGATTCCCCTTTTCATTGCTGATGAAATCTCTCCCCTATTTACCTGAGGTTTATCTGTTAATTCACACATTCAGATACAAATCAACATGTGGCCTTTAACTGGTTACTGCATTTCATAGGCCTATCACAAATAATAATGGGAAGAACTTATCTAAGATGGATTTAACATTTATGTAATAGTTGAAACCCCGTCAGCTGAATACTAGATAAGACAAACACATAGGTGGGATTGAACAGAAGTATGAAAACAATGATTTCATACAGGGTGGTACTGGTAAATGGCCCTCTCGCTGTGTTGAGTCCCGTGGAAATATTTACACTTAAGGATCTGGCCCAATAATATTTTTAATTCTCAAAAGTGAAATCCAGTTCCAGTGAGATTAGATATTAAGCATTAAACTATTTGAAGGTTTAGAGTGGAAATGCCCCAATATCTCTAGGTTGCCTGTGTAGCTGCAATGCATTTCCTCCTTGGCTACTGTTCCAACTCATGGGCAGCAAGTTTCTGGTTCCTGGATCAACATAGTTACAAATGTACGGCCTTTTAAGTACAATTCTATGGACTATGACCCTCTAGTCCTGCTTTTAAACCTTCTGACTAATTTGGAGCCAAGGAAAGGTGCAGTCCAAAGAGTACAGTTTAGTGCAAATGCCCCCTTGACCAATACAGTCATGAGATGAAGCATGCCTTGGGCCAGACCTCTATACTAGGTGGATTTAACCCTAAATGACTACCCACTGTATTTACCAAGCCTATGTATTCAGCAGTGTGACTATTTCAATTTTAATACAATATTTGTTTGTAAAGGATGGAAGGAAATTCATCTGTATTTTGGTTTCAGGGACCTCCCGGACCTTCAGGATTAGTAGGCCCAGCTGGTCCCCCAGGAAAAGATGTAAGTTTAGTATTACAGTATGTGATGAGGGAGGATCAAAATTACTGCACAGTTTTATTAAAGCACTGTCCATTAGTAACACTCTAGTTAATTCTTTCAGGCTATCACCAGTAAAGTCTGAATTTTTCATCCAAAAATTTGCTCTCTTAAGACTCAATGTGATATGTCTCTGTTCCAAAGGAATTGTAATAATCTCAGGCTCCTTATACATCACAAAAAAGTGAGGCCAGGGCTGAGTTGCTGACTTGACAGTTGTTCTGAATTTCTTTGCATTCGCCAGTTTTACTTGTGAACTGTAGATCCTTTTATCATTTGTGTGTTAACAGTTCAGAGCATCTGTGCTTCAATTATAGTTCCAAAAATATGTGTTTGTTTGGGGGTTGATCATTTCCCTCTGAGAATGCTAATGAGATAAATTATGTTGTTTTTCTAAATCCTAGAAGGAAGTGTTTCATATTTGTCACCTCTATTTTATTTATAGATCTTACCAACTTGGCACCTGGTGCCGAACTCATTAAGCCCAGTGCAGTCAATTGAAGACTCCCATTAAGTTTAATAGGTTTTGGATCAAGTCATAAATAGGCTCAAGTGATAAATATAAGATGGAGCTTACTTTTGATATGTAGCTAATATCTTGTTCTGAGCCACATTCAATTTGAATCTTTGGGTCCTATGGTCATGAATGACCAAATACTGGCTCATAAAACTCAATAGGCTATTGTACAGAGAGTCACATTCAGTCAATACAATTTTGGGGCCTTTGACTGTTTCTCCATGTTTAGTAAATATTAAAGACATCATGATGCTTTTGTGATGCTCCCATTTGCTCCAAGATTAGCCTGGCTAATGCTGGAAGTTACTCTATGTTCACCAAAACATTTGATGAGAATGGATCAGGAGCTGTGAAGTGCTTCTAATGTTAAGACAAATGTGTGCTGTGAGAAAATGTTCACTCTGGCATAAACTGATGTGACCCCCTCTACCTATTGACTTCAGTAAGAGTTGCACCAGCTTAGTCCAAGGTCTGTTTAGTCCTGTATTGCTAGCTCTTTGCCATGAACTGAAGCAGCAACAGAGCAAAACCATATATTCTATCCACAGGGAGAATCTGGAAGACCAGGCAGACCTGGTGAGCGTGGATTACCTGGGGCACAGGTAAGACAGATCTCTTCTTGAATGAAAAACAAACTTGTTATTGATTTTGCATTTTGTTAACTATACCACTAGACTGACTATGCTATTTAATGTATATTAGATTATGTGCTTCATTATGTTTGTAATTTACATATTATTTTATGCTTACATGTTTAGGGCCTCAAAGGACCCCCTGGTATGCCTGGATTCAATGGAATGAAAGGTCACAGAGTAAGTATTGTTGTAAGAGTATTTTGGGGTGAATTTCTCTGACTCATTATACAATTGGCACAAGCAATCTGCTTTGCAGAACTGAATGTCACAATTGGCTCTTATCTCAGTAATGGGCCTTTTGAGAAGCTAAGCTCCTGGCCATAAACATCCTGCATTCTGGGAAAGTTCTGATCTCAATTCAAAATGTGTCCCTTTGTCCCAACTCTACTTTTCTCTGTTTGTTTCACCATTGAATTACCACTAATCCCGACAAAAAGAAATAACCTGGAATTTATTCTTAGCTAAGAGCCAAATTTTGATCCCAATATTTACCTTGTTGAGCTGTTACCCTCATGAACAGATCTGCTGAAATCAATAGGCCCGCTCATGGCACTAAACTCTCACCAGTGTGATAAGGAGTTCACCATCTCTTCCTAAGTAGGCACTGATCATCTTACACATTATTATGTTTCTGTAATATCTTAAAACAGGATTTGTTAATGCTATTTTGATTTTCTATTGTATCATTATTTGAACAAATATAAGCCATGTCCATATAATGTAAGATATGATATGAGCTTTTCAGGTTATTAAAAAAAGGATGCACTTGAAGTTTAATAATGATCAAAGCTAATCAGGTTTTCAAGAGTGCAAATGAAATGTATGTTATTTTTGTATTCCCTAGGGCTTCGATGGACGAGATGGTGCCAAAGGTGATGCTGGTGCTCCTGGTCCAAAGGTAAAGTAACTTTGTTGAAGTCTCTATAAAATATGTAATTTTATTCTGAATCCATTGTATAACTGTATGTTGTGTATTTACTTCTATTAAACCACTTAAACTCTTTGATTCCTAGATGATCATGTCCTTATAAGTAATCAGTTACTCTTGGCAAGTTTGTTGTTTGCAATTGCAGCACATTTCTTCTGATTTTATAACAGTAACTGACAGAAAAGATGGAAAGTCCCATGACTGAAGACTGTGTGCAACTTTATTACTTTAAAAAGATGCCGTAGTGATACACTTCAGACCTAATTCACCTCTGTGTTATCCTCTTTAATGCCAGAATAACTCAGTTGATTTTAATGAAATGACAGCCATGTAAAACTGAACACAATAATAGATCTGGCCCAAGTCTTTCTGTTTTAATATTTTGTGTCTGAAATTCTTAATATTTCTCAGTCCCCATTGGCTTAAGTAGGAGTCCAAGACATTCAGTACCTAACAGGTGTTTAGCAGTTCAAAGGCCACTAATGCACTAATCAAAATCTGATACTCTCTTTATATCACAGGGTGAAAATGGTCTTCCTGGGGAAAATGGAACACCCGGGGCAATGGTAATTGTTTACTATCATTTAATTACAAGTTACTATAATTGATACTTTTTCTGCTTAGTATTTCCGACTATCTTAAGCTGCCTTCTGACTTTATTCTCTGGGGGTATGTCTACACTACCCTCCTAGTTCGAACTAGGAGGGTAATGTATGCATACCGCACTTGCTAATGAAGCCCGGGATTTGAATTTCCCGGGCTTCATTAGCAAGTGCGGTATGCATACATTACCCTCCTAGTTCGAACTAGGAGGGTAATGTATGCATACCGCACTTGCTAATGAAGCCCGGGATTTGAATTTCCCGGGCTTCATTAGCAAGTGCGGTATGCATACATTACCCTCCTAGTTCGAACTAGGAGGGTAATGTATGCATACCGCACTTGCTAATGAAGCCCGGGATTTGAATTTCCCGGGCTTCATTAGCAAGTGCGGTATGCATACATTACCCCGCTAGTTCGAACTAGCGGGGTAGTGTAGACATACCCTAAGAGTTTGATTCTACCACTCTTCACACATATGTTGCATACTACTTACCCATGCAGAGAGTCCCACTGAAACATTTCTAAGCAAAATAGTTTTTCTTCTTGTTGTTTGTTACATGGTGTCTTTGCAAGTTCATCTCCCAAATTAATAATACTTTTTTCTTTAGGGTCCAAGAGGTCCATCAGGTGAAAGAGGGAGACCTGGATCTCCGGGTACTTCTGTAAGTAATTGGTACAAAACTACACAATTGTTACTGTATCTGTTGCATGATACAGCAGGCATTCATCATGCTTTGTAGAAAAGCTCGCTGAGCTTATGGTGTAAGTTCACAGCAAATAGTGCATAGGAAGATATGGCAAAATATAGAGTGTTTGCAAATTCATGAAAATTTAGTAGCCAAAGACCAAAGATTGTACTAAAGGTCATATAGATTCATTACATACTATTTGTCCTTGATGTGTCCTTTATTCTGTATGCTAATATATTAAACTTTGGGGGCATAAGTTCATGTACTGCATGACATCAACTGCTGTCTTAGGGTATGTCTATACTACAAAGTTAGTTGGAACTAACGGACGTTAGTTCGAACTAACTTTCATAGGCGCTACACTAGCGCTCCATTAGTTCGAATTTAATTCGAATTAACGGAGCGCTTAGTTCGAACTAGGTAATCCTCATTCCAAAAGGATTAAGCCTAGTTCGAACTAGCTAGTTCAAATTAAGGGGTGTGTAGCCCCCTAATTCGAACTAGTGGGAGGCTAGCCCTCCCCAGGTTTCCCTGGTGGCCACTCTGGCCAACACCAGGGAAACTCTATGCCCCCCTCCCGGCCCCGGACCCCTTAAAGGGGCACGGGCCGGCTACGGTGCCCGTGCCAGGTGCAAGCCTGCCAGCACCCAGCTAGCAGACCCTGCACCTGGCACGG